AGCCTAACGGCTGCTAGGAAGGGCACATGCACCAGTGCTTGCCTTCACCAATCCGTTCTGGCCAATCACCCCCCTGGGGCTGACTCACACAAGACCTCATTGTGACAACTGTCCCGTTTGCATACTTCGGGACACGGCTCTCTCGCGGGTTCTTGTATCCTCTTCCGACCCTCAACTTCCTCCAACCTATTCCGCACTACCTCTGTACAGAATGTACTGTTCCTAACAATTGGCGTCTCAATTCCTCCTTTTCCACGCGGAACCGGACCTGAAGTATTGGATGTTTGGCTCAACTGGAATGGTATGATCCACGCACGCTGATTCTACCCGCAGATTGCAAATGGCGCAAATTTTCCGTTTTGGTTGTTGGCGACGATCATCAGCCTGAACTAAGCATAAACGATCACGATTTACATGTGCTAGGAGTTATTAAGGATCTAGGCATACCGTTTTATAATAGTCTTAATCTGTCAGAGCACTGTACCCTGATTGCCTCAAGAGCACGCCGAACTACAGGATTTATTCTCAGAAAGTTTAAGACAATCAAGGTTAGAACTAGTCTTTATAATATGTACCTAGTCTCGAATACTGCTCGCCCCTATTTAGCCTTCTGCACGCTAGTGAACGGAAGAAAATAGAATCGGTCCAGCAGTTCTTCACTAAAAGTGTATTCTCTTCAGACCACCGCAACCTGTCCTACCAAAAACGTTGTGAACTTATTAACACCGATCCCTTGTGGCTTCGCAGATTTGAAAGGGAGTATTTTTTCCTGTTTAAACTTTTTAACGGCCGTACCTTTAATCCCCTCAGTACCATAGGGCAGCTAGACCACTCTCGGCGCGCCAGTCATCGGGATCTGTTTTTATTTCTTCCTATAGCACGCACAGTTAGATACCGTAAATTTTTTTCAGGAAACGCCATAGAAATCTGGAATAAGCTTCCAAGAAGTATTAAAACTCAGCAAAACTATCCTTTATTTAAGAGAGCTGTCACTAGTTTTCTACATTCAGGACAACTTTCACGAATTGTCGGTGCTGACTCGGTGGAATCTCTCTTTCACTCTGATTGTGTTCATGGACTTTGAACCCTGCCAGGCCTCATGCTGAGGATAATGGTGCTGAATCCGCGGCCCGCAATTCGCTAATTCTTCAGCCGACAGCGAGCCACTGTTCGCCGACAAACATTCCGCTGGTGCAAAATCTTGAAACCAGAACACTCAAAGAAGACTGAGAACATTGTGTTCATGCCGTTTTTTTTTCTTCTAAACTGTCAACTCGGTTTATAACTGTACATATCTTCCTTTAGTATCGTACCTTCGAAGTCAGGTTTTTTGTCACTTGAAACAAACTCCCTATTTCGCCCACTACTGAGCAATCACAAAACTAAAACAAAATCAATACTGACTGCAAAAGAGGGAGTTTGTTTTAAGTCTTTTCCTGTCTTCGAGGTTCTGGAAGTCGCCCAAGAGGTGCTTTACCAATTAAACCAATTTTTAAAATTGTCTGTAAACCGGCAATAAATAAATTTTCTCCGTTTCCACGCGTAACCGGACCTGAAGTACTGGATGGTCGGCTCAACTGAAACGGTATGGCACACGCACCCTGATTATACCGGCTGAATGCAAATGGCGCAAACTGGTGATTCCTCAATCAACCGCGACGCCGATTAATGGATAATTTATCAAGCAAAACATCTCTTGAAGACAGTGGCAGCCTCTGGTGACCTTCACTTGCGAATTTTTACATCATCATCATTATTAGTTCGACGCAGTCGTCGGAATTTGACGATGGCAATACCGAAAGCCGGTAGCTAATAAGTAGCGAAGACGGGAGGAATAAAGAATTGAAGGGCTTTGGCCTCCTGAAGTTGTCACTGTCCAGAGAACTCATCAATCAGGGATACAACC